GAACTTTCAGTGTCAGGAGCTGTGTGACTTTTTCAAGGCTGCAGGTGAGGTCTGTGGTTCATGCAGGAATTCAATCCTGGGGCTATGCATCATCCCCAAAGCTATCAATAATTCCCATTGACTTCTGGGAGTCTTGAATCCCAGCTGGGGTGACAGCCCTACCTGCCTTTCTGCTTTGTCCTCACTGGCATTTGGCAAAGACAGACCCTGCTTGAGCTTACCTGCAGTCTCTGTTCTGGCAGGTTTTGTTGCCTGAAAGCCCCTACCTTGGGCTTAGCAGCTGGTGGTTTGTGACCCTCATTATCCAGCCCGGATCAGTGGTGGTGACCTTGTGATTTCTCAGGGCTGGTCCCTCTGGGGCCCTCAGCATCTGCTCTGACTGTGGGATCTCTGGTAGAGGGAAGGCCAAAGGCTTTGCCCGCTGTGCAGGGGCCCGTGTACTGACTGGAGCCTCCGGTCAATGCACGCAATGTCACAAGCAGTGTGTGATGGATGCACTATTTACTGCAGAAGGGGCACCTACTGGGTCCTGGCCCCAGAGTTAGGTCCCCTATGGACACTGGAGTTCACTGGGAGCAAGGCATGTCCCTGTGGCACCATATAGGGCTGGCACAGTATGCTCAGCTGCTTCTCTGTGGAGGCAACCTGAAGGCATTTGGGTTTGGCAAACAGGTTCTGCCCCACGCTTCCTTTGTGGGAAGGGGCTGGAGAAGGGGCCTGGCCTGGTCTCCGGAGAGAGACGAAGGCAGCCGCAGCCCTGGGGGCTGAGAAGGCCTCCTGCCTGAGGCAGCCCCCCCTCAGACCCGGCCGGCCCCAACCCTCGCTCCCTCCTCCCCTCTCAGCTCCCCCTAACCACAAGGACTTTGGTTGATGGAGCTGGCGCCAGTGAGTTCCCTGAAGAGTGCTGGGGGGCGGGGAGGGGGGGAGCGGGCTGGCCGGGCACCGGGCACTGCACTGGGCACTGGGCCGAGGGGTGGCTGAGAGCTGCTGCCAGCCTGCAGAGCCCCCCTCCCATCCCCACTCAGGGTTGTGCTGATAGGTGTGGGTACAGCAGGGGTGGTGGGTCCGTAGCAGGGTTGTGAGGTGTCAGAGTAGGGATGTGCAAGCAGTGCTGTGTGAATATGTGTGTTTAGGGGTGTGTTCGTATGTTTGTGTCCCCAAATGCACGGGTGTGTGAAGGTGTGAGTGTGAATACGTGCATGTCTGAATGTGAATGCACACATGCGTGAAGATGAGTGAGAAGGCACGTGTGTGTGTGCACAAATGCATCGTGTGCAGGGGTATGAGCGTGTGCATGAACGTGTGCGCAGGGAGGTTTACGTGTGTGAGAATGGTGTGTATGTGGGAATAAGCGTGTATAAACGTGTGATGGTGTGGGACTGTGTGCCAGCATGCTTCTCATTGAGCGTGTGAGGGTCTCTGAGAGTCTGGGCGAGAGTGTTTGAGGCTGTAGGAGTGGGTGCGTTTGTGAAGGTGCCTGAGTGTGTTTGTAACTTGTGTTAAACCACTGGCACTTTGCAGACCCCAGTCAGGGAGGAGGGGGCCTGCCCCAACCAGCCCCGGGGGAGGAAGGAACGCTGGGGCCGTGGTGGCCCGGCAGCAAGCCCGGCACCCCGGTGCTTGCCGAGGACGAGCCCAGAGGGGCAAACGTCTGCGCAGCGTC